TGCTCTTCCGCCTAACCACTGAATTTACTTACATATAGAGTAGTAACATTTTAAGAGGGGAGGACAAGTTGTAAATTTACGTCTGGAGAACAAATCTAGAGTCCATCCTGGAATGCGCCTTAAGCCATTGAGTAAACCCAGAAACCCTCAATCAGGATGGCGGCTTAGCGCTGAACATTCGAACGTAAATATTCAACACTCAAGTATTCACAATCCAAACGTAAACACAAGCATAACGCATAGACGTTAGCATTCAACACTCAAGTATTCTCAGTTCAAACGTAAACACACGCATAATGCATAGACGTAAACATTCAACACTCAAGAATTCCTAATGCAAACGTAAACATAAGCATAACGCATAGACGTAAACATTCAACACTCGAGTATTCGCAATGCAAACGTACACATTCAACACTCAAGTATTCGCAATGCAAACGTAAACATTCAACACTCAAGTATTCACAGTGCAAACGTAAACACAAGCAAAACACATAAACGTAAACATTCAACACATGACACATTTCAATCCGCGCATGAATTTTAGTTTTGGAAGTGTATTAGCGTGCAAAATTGAAAAGTAATTATAAAAAGTAAATAAATGTTCAAATTATAATAAAAGTTATGGGACTTGTTGGGTTTAATTGCCCTCCTTGAGCTCCTTGGGCCCCGGATCAATGCACCCTCCTCTCCCCTGTGATGCCAATGACCACCTTAGTTGGAGTTGCCAGAATCAATAAATCACTCGATTCTTATTCTCGTTTAGTCAAGGCGGATACATTAAAATATATACTAAAAGGTTGAGCAGCATAACCTCCTGACCGACAAAGGTGGCTCTGGGCATGAATTGATGTCACTGCCGTGCCTCTGACCGGGAAGTCCATAGGGTGCGTCTCCCGGCGGTGTCAGAATTTTCGACACTAGCTAGATCACGTTCAGCGGCTGCCTGGAAGAAATTCTAGGCGGCCGGCTGCTCTGACAGGTAGTTCTCCGCGGTTTCTCCGATCAACACCATGGGAATGCAGGAGCAATACCGTAACCAACGGGACACGGACCGCGCGCGCTATCTTTCCTTCCTCTTCCTTGTTCTATCCTCAAACACACTACACTACCACGCATGTCGGGAGCATAGAGCTTGTCCAGGCTGGAATATTCCTGGTTAGGGGAAACACTAGCAGACGGTAGGTCGGCGCCAAGACGCCACCATCCAGCGGGGGAAGATCATCTCCACCTCCCGAGCAGAAACGTGCACTACACTTACGGGACGAACGACCTTTCGCCTGGGTTAATCAATTGCATTGGGACGAGGGAGGGGCACGCGCCGTGAAACCGTTCGCTCGCAGGGCTTCGGTCGGGGGAAGATCGCCACCTCCCGAGCAGAAACGTGCACTACACTTACGGGACGAAACCGTCTGCTCGCAGGGCTTCGGTCGGCGCGGGCGCGCGAGCTGGGGCCGCGCCCCCGCCTGCCCCGCCGCGCGGCCCTGGTACCACCTGGGGCGGCAGCGGCTGCAGCCGTCGGTGGCGTCGTGCCTGGACGGGCGCTGCACGCCGCAGCCCGAGCGGCCGCCGCTGCCTGACCCGGACGCCGCTCAGCCGCCGCCCCAGCCGCAGAGCGCGCCCAGCTGCGGCGGCGCCAACCGCGGCTGCGTGCAGCACTTCGAGGCCGACGCCTTCGACGGCGGCGGCTGCCTGCAAGTGCGCCGCGCCCAAGACGAGGACGACGACGGCCTCAGCCTGCACAGGTGCAGTTTCACTTTCTCTGAGTGTATATACTTAGATTTATTACCATTTCCGCAATTAAGTTTGAGAATTTGGTGGCAGAATACACCAACTTAACAACTTTATAAATTATCGTCAACATTTCTCCGTGCTATCTTTCATAGCACTCCACTTCACCACACTTCACTTCACCGCACTGTGAATCACTGAGCTGTAATGTCTTTCTTACACACTCGTTTCCCTGAGTTTTCCAACGCCACTACACTGCACATAATTATAATAATAATAATAATAATAATAATAATAATAATAATAATACTTAATTATATAGTAGGCATAGTTACTTACATTATTATATATTATTAAATATATTTCTAACACATATCAACATTCAGGAAACTATTTATAAATTTGCTCAGCCTTTGAGGAAAGGGATCGTAGATTGTCACAGGCAAACCGTTCCAGTCTCTAATACATCGATTCGTGAATGAACATTTCCCAACATCAGTTTTCTGAATTTTGTGCATGTGATCCGCTGTGCCGAAATATGTAGGTTTCCCTAATCGGCTTTGTGTTTCTTTCCACGCTCGAAGGCCTGTGTACGCTTTATGCATAGCATAGAGACGTGACTTTAATCTCCTCCTTTCGAGCTACTCCCATACTCCTTTATTCTTGGTACCCCTGAAAGTAAATTTTGATGCTCTACGCTGGACCTCTTCAGGATTCCTTTATTGCAAAATTATGTAGGTAGTTCTTTGGCTCCCACTGTACTCTTTTTCAGAATCCGCATAACAAAGTGTAACAGTGTATGCAGTGGTGCACCCAAGGCGCTTCAACACCCCCCACCCCCCCCACCCCCACCGTCAGAAATAAATGATACTTTTTTTTATACAGCTTTACTAACGAAAGTCACTCAACAATCAAATTGTTTAACATATATTACAATATAATTGTTGTAAATATTAACTATAAGCCATCAAATATATATTTTATATTAAGGATAAAAGAAAAATTATTTATAAAAACATCAAGTCTCTAAAGCCTTCTACCAATGTAACGATAAAAAAAAATTTGCGATGTTGCGTACGTAAAATAGAACTTGCAAATCGTCGTGCTAATTAGCAAACCTTGTAACTCCATATTTCCTCCTCTATTTTCTGTTTACTTTATGATAAAATACAATTATGAAAGAGCAATAGGTTTTTAAACATTTTTGTCGTAAATACTTAAAATATTAATTTAAGCAATGCTAAGGATTATCTTTATTTAATAGCACATGTTCAGTAATTGAATAATAGGGGTCACGAGTTTGATCATGCTTAGAACAAATCCGGCCCTGTTCTTCGGAGTGAATTGCAAAGTTAGACCAAGCACACGCTCGCAGCACTCTTGATCTACCGTAAATGCAACTTGCACCACATCCCTTGCCATCCCCTTACGTGTGCGTTGTGCCGTAGGCTGTTCGTGTGCGATCTGAAGAGCCAGTCGGGGCGGCTGGTCGTGGTGTACGCAGTGAAAGGCGTTCCGTGCGACACACCCTGTTCCGAGAGAAGATCGGCCGAGTTGCGTCTGGCGCTTGTGCTGCGAGACTCTCCCAGCGCTGAGCCCAGGTGAGATTGCAGCCCTCGCCCTCGCCCTCGCCCTCGCCCTCGCCCCCACGCCCTCGCCCACGCCCTCGCCCTCTCGCCCTCGCCCTCTCCCTCTCGCCCTCGCCCTCGCTTCGCCCCCTCGCCCTCGCTTCCTCATTCAGTAGAAACCCACTTTACAAAAGAAGGGCAGGGGTGATATCACTTTTATAATATTATTAAAATGTATCCCTTCCTAAATGCTTAAAAAATTGATTTAGCCAATTCAATCGGAAAATTATACCAAGGGAAACAATATCCTCTTTGTGTTGTCTACCTCTTTATTATTAAAGATTTATTTATCATTTTTTAAATATGCTGTTGCTCAATCACACTTCCACATCTATGGATGGTGTAACCCTTATGTTGGGGTGGTTTGACTCTTTTACGTTCAGTGTAATATTAACATAAAATAATGAACATTTATACATTTTTCGATGGAAAAGGTTTCTTTGTAATGTAAAATTCTAACAGAATCATGCAAAGTCTCAATTAGTAGGTACTATTTTTACAATGCAAAACCACTCACTTGCTATTAAAAATCTTAATTTAGCTTCCACTCCTGCTCTCCCTTCTTCAAGATTAGGAATGTCTTTAATGTCACATATGACATATGAAACACCTAAGATATTTGGAGACAAAACATAATTTAATTTTGTAGCTGTAACAAAATATTGTTCAAGTTCAGCTTTCTCTTCATTTTAAAATATCTTACTTCTGATGTGTTTGGCTTTAAAACAGATACTAATAAAAGTGAATTAAAGGACATGTAACAATGAGAAGTAAATGAATAGATACTAAATTTTTACAAACTCATCTTCAGGATTGTCGCAGTATCCTTGCTCAGTTTGATATAGAGTAATATAACCCAAATGAGGAAAATAAATAATTTAAATAATATGTTGGTAGGTACACCACAAATGTAGAAAATAAATCATTTTAAATAGTATGTTGGTATACACCACGACCATTTTTGCCTCTCTATAAGGACACATTTCCTAATATATTCTGCCAGATACCATTAGCGGTACTGCAGAACTGGTATCTAATAGGTTGGCTCCTAATACATTCCACCAGAGACTAATAGTGGTGCAACAGAACTAATACCTAATCGATTCAATAGGGGCCAGTATTAGTGCATAAGATAAATATTTTTATTCTAATAGCAATTAACTGTAAAATAAAGTGAATGAAAATGAAAGTATTTTATTAAAATTTGAACCAATTACTTTAAAAAGAATCCTTAACTCTGTGGTTTATATACAATTTTAAATAAAATTGATCTTTTCCTCTTTCACAAGGATTTGATGTGAAGCAAGCCCAGGCAATGTCGGGTATTTTGCCTACCCAAACAACTTATTCCAAGCTCAAGAGATGTCTCACAGCTTCTTTCGTTATTTCAAGGTTCTCCTTGTCCTGATTAGGCGTTAACTTTCTCTTAAATGGTATTCTTGGCAAAGAATATATACTTAATATACAAATAAGCTTATATTTTTGAGTCAAAACCACTTCCTAAGAAATTTCGTAATTTTAATTTTAAATGTTTGAAATAAGCTGATCAACTTGTATGTCAAAATGGTCCTTAAAAGATACTGATTAACATTCAAATACTTATATTTTGAATGCATTAAATTTTACTTAAATTACTGTTAAAAAGTTGATCTGGAAATTAAGTTACATATGCTCAAATTCTCATCTCATCATGGATGTTTGAAAATAAGATTAGGTACAGAATTCTATATAACTGAAATTATATACATTGTTCTATGAAATCATCAAAGTTAGGAATAGAGTAAAATGGCACCTTTTTAAAACTACAAAGGTAGATTATACCTCACATACGATTTAACCTCCCCACTTTCCCGTGACTGTTTTAAGTCAGCAATAATTAGGAATTGCTTCCTAATGCTTGGCATGTGATGAGAGAGGTACTTTGAGCTAATTTCTTAATAAAGTATTTAAATATATCTTCTTAAAACAGATTTGAAAAGCATTCATTGAGACGGAACTTCTTTTCAGTATTTTTATTAGTAAGTGCTTTCCTCTCCGTTATTTCTTTAGTATGGATGATTGTTCATTTAAAGTTTCATAGGAAAGAAAAGGTTTTGTTTTTTAGCTCTTGGTATTGAGAAGTTTTGAGAAAATAAAATTGATCATTACTGTACTTGCATTTCACCTCTTACCTATAATAGAAACCTTCTCAGTGAAATACAAAATGTCCCTTTTCCTTCCCTTTTTTATTATCTGATGAGATGGTGATTTCTTTCATTTGTCTACTTATGGTTCTCTCTACATATAAAATCTTCAAAGAATGTTCTCTTAATTTGTAATTTATCCGTTTCTTATGTTTTCATTTTAGTAGGTTCCAATCTTTGCTTTCAAGAATTCTTGCAAATCACTGTCATAGTCTAATATTTGGGTACTTCTCACTTCTAATATTTGTTGTGTGTGCATGGGGGAGGGAGAAATACCAGTTTAATTCTTTATTGTCCGTTGAATATAACTGAAAACTATTTTAACTCGTCTGTTTCTGTTTCACCAAGAATGATGTGGGTAAATGATTGTAATGGACATCAGGTACAAAGAACATCTGATGGAAGTTCCTGGGAACCATTTAACAACAAAACCCCACAAACATCATGGCAAGTTTGGTAAGTACATATTATGTAATTTTATTATTGGCAGTATTATTTCCACGTCAAGGAGTACTTTTGAATACCATACCTACTATCACTGAGATTACAGTGCAACCCTTAGTTTAGCAGCCAATCAGCTGGCTTTCTGTTCCTGCATAAAGATAATTTTTATTGTCATTCTTTTTAAATTTGGCTTGTGTTAACTGTTTTATGGTATTAGGTTGCTTATTGTAGTTTTATCCCTGCATTGTATGGATTTCTACTAGTTTTTCTGTAGTTTTGTAATTATTACATGCCTATTAGTTTGGTTATGAGTATTGTGAGTGTTTGTGGCTCTCTTCCTATTGCCTCATTATATTCTATGTGAAGTATAGTATTGTATGTATAAAGTTCATAAATGTGAGAAAGTTGTCATTTTAGAATATCGTTTTACATTTATTGGTTCTCCTCGTTTTCAATATTACTCTTACAGCTTGTTTCTGTAGAGTTAATAATCTTGACTTGTGTGTAGTGTACGAGTATAAGTATAAGTAAGAAATAATAGAATTAAGGAGAAATAATTATTGAATTAAACAAAAAAAAATCATTTTATTATGTTATTTTATTTATCATTCTCTGTGGTGTATAAAACATACATACTATTTTTTGAAATGCTTTCCACTGTAAAACTACTGATAAAAGCTGTCAAAGAACATTCAACAGAGGTGATTCTCATACAAGCAATGTAATAATTCTAAAATAATTTGTTAAAAATCATGATATTGTGATGAGTTTGTGATGCTGAGAGACAAGTTATATCATCTGTTAATTGTTATAGGGAGTATTCGGTCCCTGTGAGAGGACATGTAGTTGAAATAATTGCTGGCCTGCCTCCTGGTTGCAAAGCTGCACTTCTAGGATGGTTAGAGATCACTGACACTGGACCAGAAGAAATCTGTGATATGAGTAAAAATGCAAGAGAGAACCATTGAAAATGTACCAAAACAAATGTACATTGAAGTGATGACTACAATTGAATTGTATAATGTCTAGGCGAGAATCTTAATTTTTTTTTCAAAGCTTTTTATAGTACTGATGTGCTAACGAAATCAAAGAAGTTGAAATGCAAAGAAGTGTAAAAATGTATTTAATTGTCTACATTTAATTTATTTAGAGATTTTTTTTACCTACTTAGAAGCATTTCATAACATGAAATATTATGAAGTGTCAATATTGTTTAGGTTATGTTTGAATGATGCTGTTATTTGCTGCTTTGATTTTCTTTTAATGGAGTAATATTTATATTCCCTGTTCTCGTAAAATTATCAATAGGTTGTTTGTAAACTTTCAGTAATTGGAAAAATATATTCCTAATAAAAATCTGATGCAAAAATATCATACCTATGTTTCTTGTATTATGTCACATCTATCCTGTCTCCATGTGTGCATTATCAGTTACACCAGGATGTTTCGGTGGGTCAGAGTGCATGTGTGGAATGTGGAGCCAACTTCATGTTTTCTCATGAAGAATTTTTATGTATGTTTTGTTACAATAGAAAATTAGTACAAGCTAGATTTGTGATTATGTGTCGTCAGCAGGAGGAGGAGGGGGGGGGGGGGAAGCCTCTTAAGCACTCCCCACCATTTCCTCCTCTAGTGCACCACTGGGCAACTAAAGCTCTACAGATATTCTTCTACCCCTGATACCTCTCAGATTGCTCTACAGATCAAGAAGCAAATACTATTTAAATTCCATATCAAATGAATACCGTAGTTTGACCGATTTGATTGAGAGATGTATCTAGATAAACAGGCACCCATGGCAAGCACTGAATTTAAATACATTTATTAACACTGCATAGAACATAACTCAGAGGGAATTTTACTATCAGATACAGTAAGTGATCATTAAACTAAAGAGTAGTACACAACATTAATAATTGAAGCACTCTTAAATACAGGTTATAATAATATTTATTTACAGTTTATTACTCTTAACTGCATAGTTTCACATTGCATTATTCCGCTTCACCACACTACATCTCTTCATCTCTCATTCAAAATCTTTTAATCACAATTGATTCGAACTTATTTCTGTGACTGTTGACATCTACAGAAAAGGCTTTGAAAGTTGTTGTTGATAAACTGTTGCCATACATCTATTTTGCCTCCTGCTGATCGGTAGTTTTCCATGGTTTCTCCAATCAACACCAGCCAAATGCTGAAGCAGTACCCTAACAAACGGCCTGCAGATGGCATGGAATATTTCCTGCCTCTTCCCTGTCCTATCCTCTTCCCACTTATACTTCATGCACTCCACTACTACACATTAACGGAAACCAGTCAGGAGCTTATGCACCACACATTAACGGAAACCAGTCAGAAGCTTTCGTCCCAGCTAGAACAGTGACCTGCTGGTGGGAAATACTGGTTGGGGAAAATCCTCCGAATCAATCAATCAAAGGTATGCAGAAATTCAAAGAAATCTATAAAGGCTCTGAGCATGTGAAAGAAGTCTATGGTTTCATTAGATACCCAGAAACTCAGGTATACAAAAACCGGGGGGAATACAAAAATCATGAAACAAGTTTTGGTTTTGATTGAAAAATGGAAATATTTGTTTGTGTGATTCCACTTATTCTCATACTGCAAGTACCATCTGAATTTCCACACTCACTGCGCTACTGCTTATGACAGTAGATATGTGGCAGCAAGACTAATGAAGAGGCTACCAGGCCATTATATACTGGCTAAATAAAATCGGTGATTACTTATCCAAAATATTTGGTACTCACTTGTTAGATTTTGAAATAACGTTCTTTATATTCTTGGTATGTAATGAAGTGTTGTACTGTGTACTATTGCAGTATTTGTGAAGACTGATTTTGTTAAATTATCTAATTTCTTGCAGAGTTATTCAAGAGTATTTCATTTGTCGTTCTTGAAAAGTGTGCATGTTACTTGTAGGGAAACCATATTGTGAGGTTTTGTTCAATGGCATTTTTGCAGTTATTGGCCACTAATTGACTAAAATCTGTTGTTAAGCTCATGACAGCTCAATAACATGACTCATTTTTAGCTGCTTACTGCTAAATAAATGTATGTTATTTTCCAATTATTCATGAGAAATTCACGAAAATATGGGGGCATGTTGGGTAAAGGCAGAGATATCAACCACAAGTGTTTTAATAATAAATTAAATACTATAAATGATTAACCGGACATGACAAGTTTGACCAAACAAACATGTTGTATCTCGTTAATCATTTACAATATTACATATATTATTTAAAAAATTGTGGTAAATATACCTAGAATCCACCAGTGAGGTGCTTTCTGGGCGTAAGCTTTGCATACTCTACATGACATACTACTCCACATTCCTCTGAACTAATCATATGGATTACCACAATATCTCCCCTGTCACCATAGACTTTACGAACTAGTGTTGTTACATGGTTCCTAATTACTTAATAAGGAACTTGTTGTTACCATAGCTGGAGAACGACAATACCCAGATATGCAAGGTAGTTCAGCGGCAGATCCAGCTGATCATTTGGGGAGAGGCAGCGTAGTTTTTTGTTAAATAATAAACATATTTGTTATTATATTGTATATTATTTGTGTTCTGTAGATAAGATACTATATAATATTATTGTTTAAATAATTACATAATTTGAACATAAATAAATATTTAAATCTATTTCTCCAAATAAAGAAATAGAACTCTAGACCGTTTGGGGGGAGCCATAGCCCTAGCCCCTGGATCCGCCACTGATGTGCTTTCTGAGCGTAAGCTTTGCATACTCTCCATTCCTCTGAACCCTACTAATCAATATATCGTCAACCTTTCCAAATCTTCACATTATGTTCTCCATGCAAATTATCCAAATCCCTTACGTAAAAGGCTCATCAGCTACCGAACTGAAATGAACATCAATCCTTCAATTATTCTCCCTACACCCATATTTAATCACGTACCTCCATGAGTACCTTGTTTTATCTATAAACCTGGAATAGGGATTCCCCACCTATTGACTCGTGAATCTCTATTGAAAGAATTGTTGGCTCCATCGACCCCATTCATGCATATACAAGTACTTGTTGCCCTTAAATATCTTAAAGATATCAATTGTGTTTTCCAATATTTTGGTAAATTTCTACATTTACAATAATCGAAGATGCTTCTGCTTCTTAGCAGTTGAGTTTCTAATCTTTACAGTTATGTAATGGTTACAAAATGTTGAGTTTTTTACAGTTCTCCAGTATGTATTGCAGAATTTTTTGCAATGACAGAATACCATTGTCAATGTAATCATAATTTGTTGAGTTTTTTAAACATCCTAAGCAGTTGCAAAACCAGGATCTCAGATGCCCCAGTACAGAAAATCGAATTGGGGCCTCTATCTGCAGTAAACGTGAAATTAAAGTTTTAAAACTAATTAGTATAAATATCAGGAAAGAGTGGGAAAAAAGCATGGTGTTCAATTTGTTTTATTCTTTGCTACTCTTTGCTCCGTGAGATTCCTTATTAAGGATGACAGAGTATTGTTATCCAGGAACAAATGTGGTGCAGAAGATGCACAAGCCTTGCTTCACACCAGATCCCAACGATAAACGGCAGAAAGAAAAGGATTGAATTTGTAACTTATTATTATATGTTTTATTGTTCTATATCAGAAAACAGTTAATTATCAAGTTCATGTAACATTTTTTTAATCGATAGGATCTTGATTCTCCCTACACATGCCCCATAGATCCCTTGATCATCATTGACCCCCTTCAAAATTTCATAGATCCCAAGGGGGTCAATACCGATCCCTTTAGGAACCCCTGACCTACAAGCAAAACAATTGTCTTATCAGATATCCCAAAATTAGTCCACCCTTCTTTATTTTCTAATGACAACTCATCAAAATTTTAAAATCTCCCAAAAAATGTACACAATAAAAATCAAGATATGGATGTGATGTTATAGCCTGTAACCCATCAATTAATTGACACTTCTGTCCCCAATTATTTTTTAATATGTATTAAAATTTCCTTCCACAGCTCGTCAAGACATTGGTACACATGAGAAATGCATCAATGACGGTGTAAAAAAATCCTGTTTGCAGGTTTGGAGGAGATATTAACCCTCCTCACCATGTGAAACACCTACAATTAATTTTTTTTTAATAGGTTTTGAACAACCAAATCATAAGTGATCAGTGCTGGACCACTTAAAATTGATTGACCCCGTTAGGAAAGCTTTGGGACTTTTTCTTTACTAACTTTATACTGCTGATCTCCCAGTGTTTGCAAAATACAAGGGCAACAGCTATTTTATCATGACTAGAAAACTCAGCAGAAGCATCACATGTCATGGAAGAACATCTGTAATTCATTCACAAGTGAAAGAAGCACTGGCCTCTTCAATTTGAAGCACAAAACATCCTCATTCAATTGCAACCTATTCCTCAAGATGACTTGGCAAAATACTTTGGACTGGCTCTGGACAGAAAATACAGTTGGAAAACTCACACTAAGAATAAAAGAAAATAGTTAGACATAAAACTCTCAAATTAAACTGGTTACTGGGTCAGAAATGATCTCTAAGCATGAAAAACAAACAATTGTGAATAAAGCTGTATTAAAAGCAGTCAGTCATAATGTGTTCAATTATTGGGAAGTGCTCAATATTTTAATACATATATATTCCAATGCTTCCAATCAATAGCTCATTGAGGAAATTTGAAAATGCCTCAAGGTATATAGTCAATAAAAAATACATAAAGAGGTGCAATTCCTTACTGCAACAGGAGAAATCACAAAGTCTAGCACAAAATATTACCAAAGACTAGTAGATTTAGATTTATTTAGTCAAAAAAAAACAACTGAATCTGACGTATGGGGGAGAAGATTATATGTGTATGTTTCCTAGAGTTTCAGAATCCCTTCCCGTTATTTTAAATATAAATAGTTGAAAGATGAGTAAAAGTTTAAAGTAAATAAATAAATGAAAATAAATTTTAAAAAAGTGTAAGATTAGCAACATTTGAAAAAATAGACATTTCCGTTTCTAAGTTTTAAAAAAATTATTTGCATCAGAAAACAAATTGGCAGAATGATTTTTCTGCATTGTTAATGATATAGTAACTTGCCCTTACCTCTACTCCTACCATTACAGGCATAAGGTGAGTTCAACAAAACGTGCACATAGTACAGACGTATACATTTACGTCAGGAAGCAAAACAAGGGGCCATCTCAGCATTTGCTCAATGGATTTGGGAAACTGGACAAAAACCTAATCGAGAGGGGGGTCATTGACCCGGAAGCTGAAGTACATTATTTTTTACAAACATATTAAGTTTTTTTTTTTTTAAATACAATAAAATGTAAACTAATTCAATATATATCAC